ACCTGGGCAACCTGTCCTTCAGAGTCTGGGAGAAGATGAAGGACAAGGTCCACTTCAGTCCTGTCATTCTGGACCCAAACACTGCTAATGATTGGCTGTATCTGTCTGATGATCTGACCAGTGTGAGATGTGGAGACACGTGGCAGCAGCTTCCTGATAATCCAGAGAGAAACACTAAGTACGCCAATGTTTTTGGTTCTGAGGGCTTCAGCTCAGGGAAACACAGCTGGGAGGTGGAGGTTGGAGATCATCCTGATTGGAATGTTGGTTTGGTTAAAGAGTCTGTTGACAGGAAGGGAGAGAGATATGTTTCACCAAAATATGGAATCTGGTGTTTGTGGCATCGTGATGAAAAATACACTAATGGTGTTGGTCAGACTCTCACAGTGAAGAAGAGTCTCCAGAGGATCAGAGTCCAGCTGGACTATGACAGGGGGGAGGTGTCCTTCTACGACCTTGAAGACATGTCTCACATCTACACTCACAGAGACACTTTCACTGAGAAACTTTTTCCTTATTTCACTGTTGGAAAAGCTGCTGATGCTAAAACATCTGACATCAAAATCAGCTAATCTGATTTGAACGTGTCTGGAAAAATACTTTTGATTATTTCCATGTCAGAAAATAATTGTTAAATGTAAATTACAATTTAAATTATTTAATTGAATTTAATTTGATTTTAAATAAAAATGTAAAGTCATTATTTGTTTTGTTAGAAACCTCTGAGCTATGAGATTTTTTTTCTTGACTCCTTTATTACTTTTTAATTACAATATTTAACCCATTTTCGAAACATTTCAATAAATTCAATTTGGCTTAATTAAAGTTTGTCACAATATAATTTTCTACTGAATAAATTCTTTGAAAATAGAAAATCTAATATTTAATTCTAAGATATATGGTGTATTTTTTGGTACTTATGTCAAGAAAACAAACATTGATTTTATTTAAAATATTATAATCTCATAAAAAGTTATTTGAATTGTTTAGAACATCTTTAAGTTTCTACTTAATAAAAGAGATAAATATAAATATTTGTCTGTTCTACTATTGATCTTAGAAACTCTCTACAATAAATCAGGTTGTTTTATTTTATGTTTCTACTATATTTTCATTCGAGTTAAACTCCACTCACTATAAACTTTGGAAGCTGCACAGATATAAAACTGATAGATTTAAACAATCATAAACAAGTGTTTCTGAGTTTAATAATCTTGAAAATTGATGCTATAATCCAGAATATTGATAATCACATGGATCTGTTTATGTTCGTAAAGTCAGAATAAATCATAAAGATGAAGATGGAAATATTGAATCTTCACAAAAAGAAATGTGAGTTTGTGAAGTGTTCGAGGAATTCTTTTGGGGACAATTATTTCTTATAAAAAAGGATAACTAATGCAAGCACACAAGCAAAAATTTTATAGCATTTATTTATTATTATAAAGCATCATAAATAAATTGTTCATTCAGATTGTTATTTTCTGCATCATTAAAAATCTACCTGAACCAAACTGAATTTAATTGGCCCACTTGTGATCTTAACTGTATATATCTAATCCACTATTGATGAAGGTAAAAATGTATCATCATTAAATATCTGTCAGCAAAGAGGAACTTGAAAACTATAAATGTGCAACTGTAAGAGGAAAAACTGGAGCGGACCTGGCATTACATGGCATAGTTTCTGCATCCATCGCTCACTTCTAATCTCTCCTAAGGATTTTTCTTTTGCCTCATCTGGCATTTTTTTCCCCATTCGGTTATCATTTAGGTTGTGCAATCAAGGTTTTAGTTGGTGTGTCTTTACTAGGACCACTGTGTTTCTTAATGATAAACTCCTGGCTCTGAGTTACAGGAAACTCTCAGGCTGCTATCTGCTCCCAGTGGCCGTTACTGGCAAGTGGATTCTGATTACTCCCTATGCATATGTAAGACTTAAATTCTAACTAAAGTGGTTGTCTATAGGCCTATTTTAAGAAGAAAAAAAATGAAAACATGCATTCTGTAGATTTCCCCATATGCCAGAGAGCCAGACTTAAATTATTATTTTTTTAAAGGCATAAATAAATTAATTAATTAAAAAATCAATGCCCTTAGGCATACCCAGGCACCGCAGATCCACAACGGGGCAGCCGATGCCCAAGCTGCCTAAAGAAAAAAAGAAAAGAGGCTCTTCTCTCTGTTGATGACAGCTGAGTTTCTTCCTGAATCTTCTGCTTCTGCTGCAGCCAGGAGCTTTCAGGTGTATTTGGACCTCTGACTCAGATGATGGTTCCTGTTAAGGATCCGGTGATTTTAAACCAAAGTTTTTCACTAAATAATATTTTATAAACCAACCAGCGTACCTGCTCTTTTTCAACATCCCCCAGAAGTCTCAACATTAGAAAATCTTCACTGAAATAAATCCCTAGGAAAGTAAGCCGAGAACAGAAAGAGAGACTTTAATTTTCTCTTGTTTCTCACAGTAAACTGAACGACTCGGTCTAATGACTTCATGTTCTGATCTCTGGATCATCAAACTCATCCTGCAGGAAGTTGTTCTGTTCAATATGACAAAGTCCACAAACCAGCTATGGTTCTAAACTGCTTTTCCTCCTGGATCATCAGCAAATATGTGACACTGAGATCAGGATGGATTTACAGTTAATTGGACAGAAATTGATGCAAATTATCTGGGTAATCTCTGAGAGATTCTTTCAATAAAAGCAGTGAGAAAACAGTCAAGGTCATTTTATTTCATTTCTATTGAACATTTTAGAAACAAAACAATTTAAAGTGCTTTAAATGAATAAACGATAAGAAATGGAAACATATGGAATTTAAAAAATAAAGTGAGGTAAAGAAGAGTTGGAAACTTAACAGAAGCTAAAAGTGACAATATTTCAATTAACAATTTAAATCAAGTTAGAGACTCTAAATAAACAGCTTTTTAACCTTGATTTAGAGGAACTAATTGTTTTAGCAGTTTTGTAGTTTTCTGAAAATATTAAACACTTTTGTTTAATGTGTTAATTTAAAGATCTGATTGAAGTAATTATTACATCGACATTGTTCTCATTTCATAATTAACTTCAATGATCAGGTTGATGCAAAAACAATGAAAATAACTTTAGTTTTCAATTAACAGCTCAAATCCCTAACCAGACCATGGAAAAAGCAAACAGGCTTAAAGGAGGTAAGAACAGGATAAAAATAAAAAATATAAAAGATACATGTGCAAGTTATGAGAAAAAAAACAAACAAACAAGAGCAATGTGGCTAAAAATGGAGCAAACGTTCATGGATTTCTTAAAGATCTATGTCTTCATATATAACTGTACTTATTTTTCAATGTGAAAAAGGGACCAAAAGAAAAATAACACAAATAGATAATGCCTGAAATTGTCTATTAATCTACAGAGAACAAAATGGAGTAAAAAACAAAACAGATGTTTCCTCATTTTCACTTTTAAAGTGATTATTATACTTTTAATATAGTTGGAAATTGAAGAACCGACATTTTAAAATCTGAAGAGCAATGATTCTTTAACAGGTAACAACAAACAGGTAAAATCCTTCATTTAAATATATTTTTTATTTATTTTAATATATTTGCAATGAAATGTTAAAGAGTGGGTAAGAATAGTGAGAAAGAAATAATTCAAGTTAGTCTTTAGCAATAGAAAGTTCGCCATTTAGCTGTGAAAGATGCTGCAACAGCACCACCTGCTGGAGGCAAACTTAACAGACAGATTGTTTTATTTAAAACTTGAATAACAGGTTAAAGAAACTGAAAGTATTTTCAGACATTATTGAGCTCAGCTGAGACGCCATTACAGGGTGTTAGATCTCTGCTGGAAGACGAGAGAAATATTTGGAGGATTTTAAGAAGAAGCTGAAACTTTGGTGAGTCCTGCTGTTGAAATAATTCATTAGAAAATGGCAGAGAGAGTTTT